GAAACACACACACACATATACACAAAGAAGGCACACAAACATACAGTCACACAGACAAACACTGCACACTCAGACAGCACCTGTCCAGAACACTGCAGAGCCGGCCTTCTGGCTTTCCGACCACCCCATGTCCACGTCTCCTTTCCATACAGGACAGCTCCTCACTACCACATTCTCTCATTAGGTCTACTCTGACTCCTGGTGCTCCCGTGTGTGTGTGTGTGTGTCAGAGTAGAACTGAACTCCTTAGGACTTTCAATGGATGCTTTTTGTGAAGCAGATCACCGTCTTTATGCCTAGACACCTCTGGGTACACTTAAGCCCCTAGCCTTTCAGTCAATAGCTAAACTAGGGCACTGTTCACACCATCTGGGGCTGCTGTACATGCTATCTGTATATATATAATTTTCAAAGACTTCATTTGCTCAGATCTATAATCAGGACTCATGGAAGCAGCAGTCCAGAAATCAAACAATGTATTGCATTGGGCAAATCTGCTGCCCAAGATCTCTTCAAAGTGTTGAGAAGCAAAGACGTCAGTTTTGAGATAAGGTGTGCCTGACCCAAGCCATGGTATTTCCAATCACCTCATATGCATGTGAAAGTTGGACAGTGAATAAGGAAGACCATAGAAGAATTGATAGATTAGAGTTATGGTGTTGAAAGAGAATATTGAGAGTATCATGGGCTGCCGAAAGGACAGACAGATCTGTGTTGGAAGAAGTGCAGCCAGAGTACTCCTTGGAAGCCAGGATGCCCAGACTTCCTCTTATAATACTTCAAACATATTATCAGGAGGGACCAGTTCCTGGAGAAGGACATCGTGTTGGTAAAGTGGAGGCTCTGACAAAAAGAGGAAGACCACCAGAGAGATGGATTGGCAGCAATGGACTCAAACGTACACATTTTGAGGTTGGCCCAGAACCGGGTAGTGTTTCTTTCTGTTATGCACAGGGTTGCTATAAGTCAGAACTGACAACTGGACCAGTAACACCACCAGACCTTACTTTCTGGGTGCCTCTGGATGCACTTCTGATCTCAACCTTCCAGTGAGCAGTCAAACTTGGTCATCATTCACAACACATGCACACTACTTCTTACCAATATCCCCCAGCCCCCACCAAAAGTATATATATATATACATACATGAGTGTGTGTGTGTGTGTGTGTGTGTGTGTGTGTGTGTGTGTGTAGATTATACAGATCAAGTGCTACAGAGCCCACACAGCTCCCCCATGGGCGTCAGAGCAGTACTGCACTCTATAGGGTTTTCAATGGCTGATTTTTTGTGAAGCAGATTGCCAGGCCTTTCTTCCTAAGCACCTCTGTGTGGACTAGAATTTCCAACCTTTCGGTGAGCAGCTGAGTGCGTTTACCATTTACACCGCCCAGCAGGGCGACATCTCAGAGAAAGGTCAGAGCGTGTGCCATGGGGAGTAGAGCTCACTCTTCTCTCTCCTTACCTCTGGACCTGGCTTCCCATCCCAGCAGCCACTTCATGTCGCAGCCGCAGGCCCATGGGTTCCCGTGCAGATAGAGATTCTCCAGGAGTGGCATGTTCTGCAGCATCCCGGTGGGCAGAGAGCTGACGGCGTTCTCAGCTAGGTACAGGTGCCTCACGGTAGACAGGCGGAAGTGGTCCAGAAAGGAGAAGGTGGAGAAGGTGTGTGGATGCAGGTGATGCAGCAAATTCCCCTCGAGATGGACGAGTCTCAGGGACATGAGGCCGTTCAGAGCCTGAGGGTGGATGAACTCTATCCGGTTGTGGTCCACGTGCAGCCGCACCAGATTTGAGAGCCCCTGGAATGTCTGCTTCGTGATCACACGCAGCTTGTTGTAGCTGAACTTGAAAACCTACAAAGAGAAGGCAGCGAGGAAGGGTGTTCACGGTGGGAGAACGCCACAGCCGAGAACACAAACCAGAACAAACTGCAGAAAAACTGTTAACGGTCAGCTTTTAAAAACCATAATGTTCAGTTTAACACTTTTATTGAAAGGAAATTTTATTGATCTCAAACAAATTAACAGTAAACAATGCTCACAAAGACGATTTCCATGCATTGGAGACCCCCATGTGTGTCAGAGTAGAGCTGTACTTCACAGAGTGGTCACTGGTTGATTTTCTTCAGAAACAGATTGCCAGGCCTTTCTTCTGAGGTGCCTGTGGATGGACTTGAACCTCTAACCTCTCCGTTACCACCTGAGCGTGTTAATGGATTCCTTGTGTGGGGCTGTAGGATCACCACTGGACTGAGACCCACAAGGTCAGCAGTTCCAACCCACCAACTATTCAGTGGACCACTGGTGTTCTTGCATAGTGCACTTGAGCAAGTTCCAGCTCATAGTGACCCTGTATAGGCTTTCTGAGAAGCAGTTGGTGAAGTTGAACCGCCAACCTTGTGGTCCAGTGATTATCCTACAGCGCCACACCAGGACTCCATATCTATATGTATGTATATAAATATGTGTGTACACATATATATAAATATATATTTGTTTTTGTTAGGTGCTGTCAAGTCGGGTCTGACTCATAGTGACCCTGTATAGGGTTTCTGTGGAGCGTTTGGTGACTTTGAACCGCCGACCTTATGGTCCAGTGCTTATCCTACAGTGTCACACCAAGACTCCAATATATACATACATACATATATATACATACAAA